GTCAGAGGCAACATCGAGATGGACAGCCCTAGAACTCAAACAGACAAAAACAGTTATGAACGCCTTGCAGGCGCTATGGCCTCGGCCTCTGGTCGTCCGCAGCCACACTGGTCCGGCGTAATCGACCCCGGTATTCAAGAACGGCCGAGCTGGAATTACTCTCGACGGTGGCAGGTCTCCCATAATCGGCTGAGGTGAGGCCGCCCGCCATCGCAAACAAGTTACGCAGCGGTGTATTCGGTTTTTGACCAGCGCGCGGCCTTTCGGTAACCAATACTCTTGGCGGAGTGATCCAAGAGTCATCTGAACGCCGCCGTGTAGAGTCCTTCTGTGGTGCGCGTCAATGACCAGGCCCGTGAAGTGCGACCCGCTCGGCAGAATTACAGGGTGCTTCGCATCCAGCGCGAGCAGGGAGTTTCTCAGGCGGCCACCGACACGCAGGAGGCCGTGTTCGTCCTGAAAAGGACTTAACTTGGCCAGGCAGCTCCGAGATGGCAGCGGTTCTCCTCTCCGTATTGTCGCGAGCTCCTCTTGAAAGTGAGTTGCCTGTACGACTCGCAGCCAACACCGGCGAGCTTCTTCGAGGTCCCCAGCTCCGAGTGTTAGTGGAATCGAAGCCTCTCGAATCCTCACTCGACCCGTGCGAGCCAGCCAGCGACGGCACCAGGCGGTGACCCTCAGCAGGCGTAGGAGTGACGAGTGCGCCGTAAGAAGCGGGGACTCGTCGATCGCCTTGGCGGAAGTCGCAGCGGCGTGAGCCAACGCTCGGCGCTCCGGAAGGTCGTCCTGCAGTTCGGTCATCGATGAAGAAGTTCCCCACGGTCCGGCCTCCGTTCGAAGCCATGGGGGCCCTTGCCACCAGAGTTGGTGGTCGAGCAGCTCTTGTGGAGAAAGTCCTCGCGAGGCACAATCCGCCGGATTATCTCGTCCTGAGACGTGGTGCCACTGTGCGTTAGGTAGCGAGGTTTGGATCTCGCTCACTCGGTTAGCCACGTACGTCTTCCAATTGGCGGGGTGGCCGCGAATCCAGCCCAACACCACCTTGGCATCGGTCCAGCAATAAAGCGGTGCTTCCCTCGCCTCGAGAGTGAGCTGAACGGGAGCTGCCAGCTGAACTAGGAGCTTGGCAGCGCTTAACTCGAGCCTCGGTAGCGTCACCTGCTTCAAGGGAGCGACTTTGGTTTTGGCGGCCACCATTCTGACTTCGACCCTCCCGCTCTCGTCTTCGGTCCGCACGTAAATAACGGCGGCGTAAGCTCGTTCCGAGGCGTCCGAAAAGCCGTGGATTTCAATCCGGCGTCCCTCGGGTCCGCACGTCAGCCATCGCGGTATGCGTATGGCCTCGAGGAGGGGCAGCTCGTCCTGCAACGCGTGCCATCGTCGAGAGTCGTCGTCGGGCAGCGGCGTATCCCAGTCTATGCCAAGCAGCCACGTCGACTGAATCATAATCTTGGCGCGTACTGTGACCGGGGCTAGCCAGCCCAGCGGGTCAAACAGCCGCGCCGTAAGCGAGAGCGCCGCTCGCCTCGAGAACGTCTCGACTCGAGGCAGCCGAATAGCAAAGGCGAAGCAGTCGTCCCGAGGATGCCAGCGCAGGCCCAGGGTGAGGTGGCTCTCGCCGGGTTGCCAGCCCCGGGGTTCCTGCTGTAGTCGGTCTTCCACGGGTAGATCCTCGAGCAGCGCGTCATCGTTCGCAGACCATTTTTTGAGCGGGAAGCCGCCCGCCGTACAGATCTGCACGAGTTGTCGTTGGATGGCCTTGGCTGCCGGAATAGTAGCCGCCCCCGACAAGACGTCGTCCATGTACGTCTCGTCCTCCAAGACGGCCGCGCCGAGCGGCCACTTCTCTCGCTCGTCGGCGGCTAGCTGACGCAGCGATTGAATGGCTAAGTAGGGAGAGCACGTCAGGCCGTAGGTGATCGTATTTAGCCAGTGATCCTGGATCTCCTCGCTAGGATCGTTCCGCCACACGATGATCTGCATGTCCCTGTCCTCCGGATCCACCACGATCTGTCGGTACATTTTCTCAATGTCGGTAGCGAAGACAAACCGATGTCGACGCCACTTTATGATAAGAATTATTAGCGGCGGCAACAGATTAGGACCGACCATTAAATGCCGGTTGAGGGACTCTCCGGAGGGAACGGTGGTCGACCCGTTGAAGACGACCCTCAATTTCGTTGTGGTGCTCGATTCTCGCATCACGCCGTGGTGCGGAAGGTAGCAACGCGGTTTGTCGTTCCCGTTCGCGTTCGGAGGAATCGGCGTCATGTGCCCCAGCTCGGCATACTGACGCATGAAATCGCGGTATAACGCATGGAAGGAGGCGTCCCGCGCGAATCTTCCTTCCATGTGCTTTAACACCCGCACTGCTACGCGACGCGTGTCCGAGAGATCCGGCAACGGACTTTTTACGGGAAGACGCACGACGTACCGACCGGAGGCATTGCGTCTATGCGTGCGAGCGAAATGCTCCGCGCACTCCCGATCTTCTTGGCTGAGAATCACGCTAGACGTAGACGGAATTTCGTCCTGCTCCCAGAAACGGCGAACCATGTCCGCTAGATCCTCTTCGACCCGGCATTGGAAGGCCTGTGCCGAATGGCCAGAGCTCAATTCCCCGACGGAGCCCGAGATTATCCAGCCCAGCGTCGTATTCTGGGCGACTGGCTCGCCATTGCCACCCCGACGGAGCCCTTGTCGGAGGATGGCGGCGTAGACGTCGGCTCCGAGTAGCACGTCTATAGCATCGGACGCGGAGTAGTCCGGATCTGCTAGACTCAGGCCACGAATGTGCGCCCAGGACATCGCGACGGCTGAGGTTCCACTCGCGTAAGCAGAGAGACGAGGGAGAATAATGGCCGAAATCGCCATTGCTGCTCCACCCGACCGCGGCGACATTGACAGCGAGACACGGCCTCGCGCAGTGCTAGTCTTTTGTCCGCCGATCCCGAAAACCGAAATCGACACGGGCAATCGCGGAAGTTTCAATTGCTGCGCGAGTCTTTCGGAAATCATCGAAATCTCTGATCCCTGGTCAACTAAAGCGCGCGCGGAATGCCAGGCGCCGAAATGATCGGCGACGCGAACGCGAGCGGTGGCGAGGAGCACGGCCACCGGCTTAACAGGAGCTCCGCGTACCACATGCGACGTCTTCGCGATCTCGGTTTCGCGGCACGCGTCGTGGATCGAAGAATGGTGACGGGCATCGCACGCCGAGCAGTTTTTCTTCACGACGCACTCGCTCACCTTGTGTCGACCGAGACAATTGAAACATAGGCTCTTTTCTTCGACGAACTGCCGTCGCTCTTGAGCCGTCTTCTTTTTATATTCGTCGCAGAACATTAAAATGTGCTCCTTAGTACAGAGCGGGCAGCGGCCACGCTTGCCCTCGGACTTACCCCCCTGTTTACTCGCGAGATGACTCCGAGCTGATTTCGCCGTTCCGTTTCCCGACTTATTCGCGGCACTGTCCACTCTAACGGGTAGCATCGATTCCAACGCGTGCAAGCGGCGGTCGAGAAATTGTTCCAGTTCGAAATACGTCGGCGGCTCGTTGGTCTCACTAATTAAGGTCTCCCACTCGCGACGCGAACGCGGATCGAGGAGTTCGACGGCGAGGTACACGAACAAATCCTCGGAGCGACTCACGGGTCGGCCGATCCCGTCCAGCGAACTGACGGTTGCCTTCACGCCGTGGAATATCTTTCGCAATTCGACCGCGGACTCGCTCTTCATTTTCGGTAGGGAGACGAAATTCGCGAGATATGCGCGCACTAGCAAGCGTTTATTCTCGTAATACGAACTAAGCAGGTTCCACGCGCGTTCGTAATTCTCACCGGTCGTAGTCACGTTCCGAATAAGCAATTCAGCCTCACCTTTTAGGCAGCTCTTTAAATAATGTAGCTTTTCTACCTGCGTCGCCGCCGTGTCCTTGCCGACGATGGACAGGAACAGGTCCCGGAACGCTGGCCAGTCCTCGTACTTCCCGGTGAACTCAGGCAGCTGAATGCGAGGCAGCGCGGTGCGAGACGTCACCGTCGCCGTCTCTTGACCGGCCGTCGAGGATGCGGCGTCTTCCTTCGCCTTCAAGGACCGTACGAGGTCCAGGAAGATGCCCTTCTGATGTAGATACGCTTCCTCGGCGAGAGCGAACACGCTTTGCTTGACGTAGTCAAGCTCCTTAATTCTTTCCCAGGGCGTGTCGAATATCGACTCATGCTGGGCTTCGAATTTAGCCCAGTTTGACTCCAGTCCTTGGAGACGAGCCTCAGCCACTCCCAGGGTGACCTTGGTAGTTCCCGACTTTTTCAAGTTCTCGTAAGCACGCGAAATGCGGCCGTGCAGCTCGGTTTGCGAGCGAATCAGAGTTTCGGTGTCGATAGGCATTGTTCTTCGGCGGTCACTCGAAGCACGAGAAGCTCACCGTAATTCCCACTCACACACTTCGCGGATACCGGTCACGGAAATCCGGCTCGAAGGACCAAAAAATGTGCGCGAATGGGCTTAGGATTTAGAGTTCAAAAGTTAATGAGAGT